ATGTTAAAAAAATAAAATTAGAGCAAAAAAGATGTTACTCGCTAAGCAATAACACTTTGGAGACCCCTAAACTGGCAGGGAAAAGGTGCTAGAAGAATACCAAGTAGTACTATTATTCCTGACCTGTATATCAGTTCAGTAATTCCTGAACCTATTCACTCATTCCTGTTGGAATGAGTCATTTTGCTGAAGAGATGCAGGAGCAAGTCCAAGTGAGACTGAGGACCAGTGGCAAGAAGAGACTGGACTCTTGGTGGTGACTGGGGACATATCAGTAGCAGTGAAAGTGGCAATTCCAAAACTGGATCCAGGGCTAGAGAGCCTTTAGCTTTCCACAGATAAGCTTTTTTTATTCTGTAACATAAATAGGCTTTTTTTTTTCTTTTTTTATTAGTGAAACACCATGAGGTACAGTTATAGGCTTACAAATTTTGTGCTTGGGTTTCAGTTATACAATGATCAAGTGCCCATCCCTCCACCAGTGCCCATCATCCATCACCACGAGTCCCAGCATTCCCCCCCCCCATCCCCCCCCCCCGTCCCATCCTGCCTCTGTGGCAGGGTAACATAAATAGGCTTTAAAAAATAAAGAGACTACTTACACAAATAGGCTTTTAACTACTACAGCCCTTTAGAATCTTTGCTCTGCCATTTCTATGACCTTGGGCAAGTTAGTCTCTTTAAACTTTGTTACTCTCGATCTTTAAAGTGGAAATAATGATAGTTTCTAAGGGATGCTGTGAGAGATTTTAGTATCTTGTATATTTATTGCATTCTGTAAATTCACACTTTGGAGGGTAATGGATGGGAAGCAGGGATCATAGTGTTCAAATCCAATCATATAAAACATGTAAGAAAAAAAGGAAAGTTTTTGCTTTTTCTCGAACATCTGGTGCTTTGGGGCCATAGAAAGAGAACTTGGTGGATACAGTCTGAACCCACTGCTACTTCATGATATATACAAGGAAACTCATCAAAACTTTTGATATCGGGCTGGAGTGCTAGTACAGTGGGTAGGGCGTTTGCCTTTCACGCTGCCAACCAGAGCTCGATTCCCGGCATCCAGTATAGTCCCTCGAGCACCGCCAGTAATTCCTGAGTGCAAAGCCAGGAGTAACTCCTGAGCATCTCCGGGTGCCACCCAAAAAGAAAAAAAAAAACAAATTTTTGATATCTGGCATACTAAACCCTAATAGGAAAACCCTTCGGTGGGCTTTGAACCAAAAACAGCTTTCTATTTTTCTTAAAGTGTAATATATATTTTAAGTTTCCTTCAGAAAATTTATAAAATATGGACAAAAGAAATCTTCTCTCTAATTGTAGTGAATGATTTCTAAATGTGTGCCAAGATTTTTTTCTTATGTTCTTCTGGAATATAGTATTTGGGATATTTTTCAGCATTTCAATTTTATTTGAAGTTTCATAAGCCTTCAGAAATTCATTATTTCTAAGTGCACTGGTGTTAGCTGTTTTTCCAGCCTTTGTGAGAAGTGATAAACAAGCTCTGCTTTGTAGATGGGAGTAGAAAAAAAAAAAAATAAATAAATAAATAAATAAAACCTTTGTGAGTGAAATCCAATTAAATGAGGACTAAAATATGATTTCAGATAAAAGCCATTTAAGTGAAGTTGTGTTGAAAATCAGATTGGATTCTACTAAAAAGTGAATGAAACGTAAAGGATATTCACTGTTTATGAAGATTAAAGCATATTGCTTATTCTTTTCTTTAAAGAAATATGTGCTATAAATTTTTCCTAATAGACAAAACCATAATGATGCAATAAACATTCCTGTGCTTATTAGCTTTAGTGACCAACCTCAACATATCACTGTCTGTTATTCTTCCTTATCTTTACTTTTAAAAATATTTTTAAAAAACTCTGAAAAATACTATTTTTAACTCAATATATTTCTGAATTCATCCTGGAAAGTAATAATAAATAACTATCAGAAATGAATAATTTTTACATAATCATGTTATGATTACAGTTACTAAAAGATTTAATAATTCCTTGTTAAAAACTAGTTACTTCATTATGAAAATTTTTTTAAAAATGTACCATACATCACTTTATACTTGTTTTTCTTGATTTGAGACTCAAGTAAAAATTCATTCTTTTTTTTGTAAAATATCACATTTAATTCAGACATTGATGCTTCCAAATTCTGCAATTTTTTTCTAAATTTATTATAACTTTTTTTACTTATGTTTTTTATTTTTGTTTCTGTCATTGAGAGTTTGGTCAGTTTTCTTATAAAGTATTCCACCAGGTGGATTATAGCCTTAAGATTCTTTTTTTCCCCTTCATCTTTATTTTCCTTCATACCATTTTTTTTTTTTTGGTCAGGGGTGGGAGTCACAACAGGAGAATATCAGGAAATAAAACAAAACACATCTTCTAGAATGTTCATGATAAAAGTTTAAATATTTAAAAATCAGTTCTGAACAGAAGCATCATGTGTTTGGTTGGGCTAGATATAAACATGTACTGTGTCTCTTTATGATGTCTTGCATTTTCCTTAGCATATAAACTTTCACTTTTATTTGCAAGTCAACCACTTCTTTGAGCTGTCAAGATTTCACAGGCATTCACCAAATTCTCATTTCATACTTTTTGCAGCCACACTTCCCTTTATCGATGTGTGTAAATGCATTTGTGACATGTATGTTTTCTGAGAAAGACAAAATTTGGGGACTAGAGTCCTCTTAATTGTTTGTTTTGTGAAAATATTCTCCTTTTGGCTTATTTATTTGTGCTCAATATTTTTCATTGTCTGTTGAATAAAAACGCGTCAATTATTTAAAAAATGAATTACAGAAGGAAACTAGGGAAAATAGGAATATTTTGCTATATTAAAAAAAATTGATAAAACCAGAGGATTTCCTAGAACAGATAAACCTCCAGGATGGTCCCCCAAGCCCGACCAAGAGTGATTCTTGAGCACAATAAAGAGTCAGACCCGAGCGCCACCAGCTGTGCCTCCCCAAGCAAAAAAAAATAACAACAACAAAAAAAAAAATTCTAAATTCATTCATATTTGTTTTATTTGGTTTGTACAGTTTTTTCACTTTTGTAATTTGAGTTTGCAATTTGCAGGTTAAAGGCAAAGGATGGTTGTTCATTTGCTCTTATCTGAAATAAATTACATTCACCCAAAGTACCCTTCAAGGTTTATAAGTAAAAATTATCAATATTTAATTATTGGTAGGCTGGAGGGGTAGCACAATGGGTAGGGAATTTGCCTTGCATGCGGCCGAACCGGGTTCGATTCCTCTGTCCCTCTCGAAGAGCCTGACAAGCTGCTGAGAGTAACCCACCTACATGCAGAGCTTGGCAAGCTCCCCGTGGCATGTTCGATATGCCAAAAACAGTATCAAGTCTCACAATAGAGACGTTACTAGTGCCCACTCAAGCAAATCAATGAACAACTGGAGGACAGTGCTACAACTACTGGATTTCGGTTATCTGAAAATTATGGGGTTTTTTATTTTTGCTGTTTTTCTCTTTACTTTTTAATTAAATCACTGTGAGATAGATTCTCACCAATCTGTTCATGATTAGATTTCAGTCATACAATGTTCCAACACTATCCTTTCTTCAGTGTATATTTAGCAGCATATATATATATAAATATATATATATACATATATATATCAAGATTAATAGCCATGGCCAAGGAAACATGGGCTAGAAGGACTGGTTGGAATCAAACATTTAATATCTGTGGGGCTGAGGGTAGTTAAAATAGAGAAAAAAACAGTAGCACCATAATAACTATGAATGATGATCCTGGTCAAGATCTGAGTGTCAAAAATAGTTAAAGAGATAGTCTTGATAACCTTTCAGTACCAATATTATAAACCACAATGTCAAAAACTATAGAGAGATAAAGAGAGGGAGGAGAGAGAGAGAGAGAGAGAGAGAGAGAGAGAGAGAGAGAGAGAGAGAGAGAGAGAGAGAGAGAAAAGACAGAAAGGAAAAAATACCAGGCAGGCTGGGAGTGAGGGGTGAGGATGATGGAAGGGAGCCTAAGGACACTGAAAATGTCATACTTTTCTGTTTATATACAATAATTATAATTTTGGTTCTCTTTTATTTACTGATTTACAAATATCTTGGTAGTGGTAAATCCTGAGTAATGTTACTAAAACGGTTCTATATGTTGATTTATTTTTCCAAATTTCTAAAGTTCATTATATTTCTATCAAGTAAATATAAAATACTTTCTTATTAGAACCGGACAGCTAATATGTGAATCAAACCTTGCTTTTAAGGTGTTCTGTTCCTTTATACATTCTGTCAACCAATTATGTTTTTAAAAAAATTACAATAGGGGCTGGAGCGATAGTATAGCTGGTAGGGCATTTGCCTTGCATGCAGCCAACCCGGGTTCAATTCTCAGCATCCCATATGGTCCCCTGAGCACTGTCAGGAGTAATTCCTGAGTGCAAATCCAGGAGTAACCCCTGTGACTTAAAAAGCAAATATATATATGTATATATATATGAAATTAACCTTATATTAACCTTATTGCACCTGTTTTTCTCAATGCTTGGCATGCATTTTTGTTAATATTCCTGTAATTTTGTAGACATTTCTAATGTTTTTCTAGCATATTCAGGTGATTTTTCAGACATTATTTAAAAAATAAATTATATTATTTATCATATAATATTGCTTTTAATGTTATATGTTGAATCATTTTAGTTCTTATTCTACTGTGAAAAATAGTTTTTAACAAAACTAGCTTTCTCATGGAAATATATAAGATCAATATGTGTTACATGACTATCCATCTAAGTATGAATTCATATATGTATATTTTTAAATAAGACTTATAAAGCCACACATTATTAAAAGTAAAACATACTCAAATGATTGCTCTTTAGGAAAAAAAAAGATTTTTTTCTCATGGTGTCCTTTTGAAAGGTGATATTCTAAATAGTGAAACTTGTGTGTTATTCCTACCTGTCAAGTTCTACTATGCTTCCATTTTAGATACGACCCGAAAACAGACACATGGACCATGGTGGCTCCTTTGAGTATGCCCAGAGATGCTGTTGGAGTCTGCCTTCTTGGAGACAGATTATATGCAGTTGGTGGCTATGATGGGCAAACATACCTGAATACTATGGAATCCTATGACCCACAAACTAATGAGTGGACACAGGTAAGCCTATCTCCTTAGCAAGATTTACCTCAAGTGTAAGTTAGTATTATTATATGATTGCTATATTGATGTGTATTTACATTTTTTGGAGAAGAGATATAGTATATTCAGCAAAATTGTTCTGCAGCAAGAGTGATTAACTTTAATCCATTGTCATTTACTCAGCAAAACTATAGCCCTTCTTGTGTATTTTCCTCTTTTGTATTCTATACATTTATAACATTTTTATTCATTGATGGGCTGGATCGACAGCACGGTGGTAGGGCATTTGCCTTGCACACCGCCGACATGGCAGACCCGAGTCCGATTCCTCTGCCGCTCTTGGAGAGCCCAGGAAGCTACCGAGAGTATCTCGCCCACCTGGCAAAGCTTGGCAAGCTACCTGTGACGTATTCGATATGCCAAACACAGTAACAACAAGTCTCACAATGGAGACAGTATTGGTGCCCACTCAAGCAAATCGATGAGCAACGGGAGGACAGTGACAGTGACAGTGACAGTATATTCATTGATATTTAAAAGTCACATTGGTACATAATTGAGTTCCCCACCTTATTATAAATCATAGTAATAAATAGTGATAGAATTCAAATATCCTACCACACACAAAGACAGAAAGGTAGAACTGTACCCAGAGTCTTAAATTTGCAATATTTTATTTTTGAGATATTTGGAAGTAGAAAATGGAAGACCACAGATAAAAACCTTCTGTATCACAATTTTGCAAGACTATCTTTATTAGGTCCATTTTCTTATTGCAGAGAGAATTTTTCACAAAATGATGACACTGTAAGTGCTAAATAGACATAGATAAATCACAAAATAAGATAAGAATAGTGAAAGTTCAATGGTGAAAAGAAATAGTAAAGGGTTCTCTATACATGAAATATATAAAATAACTTACAGATGGCCAGTTTGTCCAGGAAGACGGTTCGGTTTGGATAGGTTACCCATTATTTTGTGTGTGATAGGTAACTCTATGAAAGAAAATGCCTTAACCCTTATAATCTCTTCAAACCCTAACTCTTTTATAAGTGAGGCATGATCCCTTGACTGTACATTAAAGTTAGAGACTTGGAGTAATGCTAAAAAATGTAACTCCATTTCTGGCCACATTGTTGATATGTCTTTATGTTTATGAACACTTAAGAAGTTGGAAAAAAAGAGTGAAATACAAGTGAAAAGTTCCTAATTCCATGCAGTCATAATGTTTTATATATATATATATATAATTATATATGTGTGTGTGTGTTTTTCTGTGTGTGTATGGGCTAGAGTGATAGCACAGCGGGTAGACTTTTGCCTTGCACACTGCCAACTCGGGTTCAATTCCTCCATCCCTCTCAGAGAGCCCAGCAAGCTACTGAGAGTATACCACCTCATGGCAGAGTCTGGCAACCTCCCCGAGGTGTACTCGATATGCCAAAAAACAGTAACAACAATGGAGATGTTACTGATGCCCGCTCGAAGAAACAGATGAGCAAAGGGAGGACAGTGAGAGTGATAGTGACAGTGAAGTATCTGTATGTCTGTGTGTCTGTGTGTCTGTGTAGTTAGGTACTGTTTAAATTATAATAGTTGAATTTCATTAAAGAGAAGAAAGGAATGGAAGTAAAGGGGGAAAGTTTATCATCGACCTATAATTTTCTGTTTTACTATAACTGTGAGAGAAGTATCCATCTGTTACTCAAGAAGCAGAAAAATAAAATAAATTATTAATAATTAGGTTTTCTATAATTATGCTAAAATTTTAGGGCTATATATTAGCTTTTTTCCTTTCCAAGTTTTATTATTTCCAAAACAATCACAAAATAGATTAGTGGTTATTGATTTGCTAAGCAAAGTGTATTATTTTATGGCATATATTATAAATATGCCACTTACATAAATGAACATTAAATAAAGGAAGTTTATGGGCATATAAATGATGTAATATAATACCTTCATTACATATTTATAATAATGACCCATTACGGTTACCATTCCTCTAAAATTGAAATCAAAATAAAATATGTAGTAATAATAGTTAAAAGCCTCCTAAAGACTATTTTCCCTCATTTGTAGTTTATTATGCTGTTTCAGATCATATAGCATCTTACAAACAGCTAAGTGGTATTTAAAATATTTTATAGCAACCTTATTTTGTGTAATAATCATTAATTTTAAAACTCAAATTATTTTAAGATTTTATGTTTACATACTTTATTATTTATATTTTTAAGATACTCTGGGACAGTCAGCATTCCTTGAAACCTTTCTTTACTGGAAAACATTCTCATATATCCATTATAATATCTGCAATTTCCCCCTTTTTGATTCCATAAATAGATAAAATCAATTTATGCCTTATTTATTATAGGAATTCCCTTAAGTTTAAAGATTAGAATAAATAGAAAAAAAATACCTTAAAAATCTCCAAGAATGATTATTTGGAAAGGTCCTCCAAGTAACTGGAAATAACGAAAACAACACTTAACAATTCAACATCAGACTGATGTCTTTCACAGTTTGTTTTACAGAGAATATTTGCATGGGTGCTTGTGTGTATGTATGTTTTAAATAAATTTAACTATCACTTAGCAATTTTTTTGGCATTTGAATCTTTTATAATGTGAGCTTAAAAATATATAAAATAAACTTTATCCTATCTCTCTTACTTGGAAAAAGCTGAGGGACCACAGACTGATGGTCAAAAGGGCCTCTTTAATCAGAGTTATTAGCATCTTTACAGAACTTCTGAGAGTGTTTGAGGTATAAGATTGATCATTTACAGAGGTAGAGCATTTTAAATCAGACAATTCTTTTGCAGGGGATTAGCTCTAGGAGATGCTCATTTCCCAGGAACTACTTTCTCCTTCCCTTGTTGCTTAATACTGTTAATACTTAACAGTAAGGTAGATAGATTCCAAACCTTGGTTATCTGGGCTCTGGAGGCCAGCAAGGCTTTTACTGTAAATCCCCGACTAAATCCTCAGGCCAATTCAGTTTGTGCTTCCGTGTGTAGGTCTTGTCTCTCAAATCATAACAACTTACATCATGGCCATGCTTTTTTTGCTTTCTAGACTGTCCCATTTTGATGCTTGGGTAGTGTGCTGGTCTCCGCAGGTCCATCCCAGACCCACAGCAGGACTCCCTTTTGTGGAGTGTTAGGAACTACAAAAATTGAAGCCTGGGTCAAGTTATTTGATGGATGTCCAGGAGAAGACATATTTCAGAGCTAATCAAATCCCATATATTAGGAACATAGCATTAATGGTCTTTCCATGTTTAAACAAAGAACATTGCTTTATATTAAAATATGAAAAGGTTATTGGGGCAATAGTAAAGTAAGTAATCACTTAAAATCGAAAGTCCAGAGTTACCAGAATGTTTGGATTTAGTAACTAACAAAAAGGTTAAAGATTTCAAGGGATGAGGGGTGCTCGCAAGAACACTGTTTTCTCTCAGTGGAGGAAAAGAGGGAATTCACTGAGGAAGCCTAAAACACTTACGGTCAGCATACAAAACAAGACTTTCAATATTTTCCAAAAATAAGCACTCCTTGCTTTGGATGGGTTCTGTGGCCAAAGTTCCTTGTTTTAATGCTAAGCTGTACTCTCCCCGGGAGCCTAATACATCTTGACATTTGAACTTGAGGAAATGGGACCTAGTCAGCTATTTAGCTGCATCAACTTGAACCAAGTCCAGCATGGGTTTCTGCAGAACTGCTCATCTGCTGTCCCTTACAGAGAGAAATCATAATCTGTATTATAGAAACTAAGTGTATCACGGTCTTCCCATTGTTCATCGATTTGCTCGAGTGGGCCCAGTACCATCTCCTTTGTGAGACTTGTTGTTACTGCTGTATTTGGCATATTGAATATGTCACAGGGAGCTTGCCAGGCTTTGTCGTGTGGGTGAGATACTCTCGTTAGCTTGCTGGACTCTCAGGAGGGGCAGAGGGATCGAACCCGGCTCAGCCAGGCCAGCTGTGTGCAAGGCAAACGCCCTACCACTGTGCTATGGTTCCAGTCCTTAAACTAAGTATATTTTTGTAGAAGAAGACATGATGGGGCTAGAACAATAGTACAGCGGTAGGGGTTTGCCTTCCACGTAGCTAGCCTGCAGACCAGGGTTGAATTCCTATGCCTCTCTCGGAGAGCCCAATAAGCTACAAAGAATATCTCACCCTCACAGCAAAGCCTGGAATACTACCCATGATATATTTGAAATGCCAAACACAGTAACAAATCTCAATGGAGATGTTACTGGGCCTGCTGGAGCAAATTAATGAACAACGGGGAGGACAGTGCTACAGTGCTACATGAGTAACAAGTGAACATTTGAAAATATGGGCAATAATTTAGTTTAAGAAGCAGTTTTTAATGACCTGAATAACATATTTCACTGAAAAAAATTAGTGAACATACTAATTTGAGGAGGTGAGCAAGGTCTATATTATGTAGGAACAAAAGTCATGTCTGATAACCCCAGCTTTGCCATAAAATAAAATTTAATGGTGGGCTTTAAGAACAGACTACAAATAATCAAAATTGTATTCTAAAATTATTCCACTTGATTAGATATAAAACATATTTAAGAGAAAACAGTATTTCACTTGGAAAGAGAAATTCAAAGGAATTGGAGAAAAATACATCAGGAGGCTATTTTGCTAATCCACTTGAAGAAAATTAAAACTGACATAGACTTAAATGTAAAAGAGTATGTTTAAGTTGTTTAGAGGTATCTTAGAGAGTTCGATTATTCAGATGTAAGTTTAAGTGAGATAATACTAAGGATAATGGATTTTGTCTGTTACTATCATGAACAAATGGATAGAAGGTGGTGAAATTACATTGACAAAGGAAGCATGTCAAATAGAATATATTTTGAAATAAAAGTAAGCAGATGTTAATTTAAAAAAACTAATATAGAAAAATATATAAAGAAATAGGTACATAGAGAAAAAGTTGCATTATTTACTTTGAATACTATATGTAATATCTGGCTTTAATGACTATCAGAAGGTATTTGTGAAACCAAAACTACAAACTTAATTCAGTATTGCATGTTCTTGAACTAAAAAGATAGTTCAAGTAGAATATCATCTGTATAGTATGTGCAAACCCTGATACCACATGGCCCTAGAACATCTCTGGGCCCAAACCCCCTCCCAACCAACAGGCCTTTGAGGAACTAGAAAGAAGAGCGCGCCCACATCCTCCAAGACTGTTGGATTTGGAGTTATAAAAATATAGATTTCCCAATAGTTAACCCATATCTCTATATTTATTGAATAATGAGGCTTGCAAAAGTTGGGGTAAGAAACATTTGCGATTGCTACTTAGATGACTGTAATGTGAAACAATGCTTGAGAAACATAGGAAATTAAAAGAGAATAAAAGTGCCTGTATTTTGGCATCAGATGCATTTCAGTATATATATATATATATATATATATATATATATATATATATCATGATCACGATCATCCTGTTGTTCGTCGATTTCCTCGAGCAGGCACCAGTAACGTCTCCTTCTTCCTAGCCCTGAGATTTTAAAAGAGCCATTTCAATGCTCTTTCAGGATTAGGAGAATGAGACCCATCATTGTTGCTGGTATTTGGCATATTGAGTACGACACGGGAACTTTGCCAGACTCTGCCGTGCGGGCAGGATACTTTTGGTAGCCTGCCAGGTTCTCCAAAGGAAAGATAATAAGATGTCCGCGCTTCCAGGAGCTGGGTTTTATAGTCTCTGCATCTTGACCGATGATGGGATGAACCTGGAGCTGGCGGCAGCTGGTGGGTGTGACGCCTACCTACAGGAAGATGGGGAATCTGGGTGGAGAAGGCCCAGTCCCAGTCCAAGTAGGCTTGGAGACCTCAGCCCAGGGACCCGCTTGCCTAGGTTCCCCTGCTAGTTCTTTCATGCACAAGGCCCATCTGGCCCATGTGGAGAGTGGTCCCAGCATGGCCGTGGCTGGATCCGGAGATCCTCAGCTGCTGGGCCTCTGCTCGGGGCGGGGGGAGGGGGGAGAGAAACTCAACCCTCCCCCCTCCAAGGGGCCCCGGAGAGGACAGCCAGGTGCGGGGGCAAGAGACCAACCTGGTGCTGGCGGCAGCTGGTGGGTGTGATGCCTATCTACTGGAAGATGGATGTATATATATGTATATGTATATGTTGATGCTATAGAATTTACATATTGCACCAACAGTACAGTCACACACCTACATGTGGAGATGATGATAGAGAAATTTTGGTAATGATTGTAGAGATCTACATAAATTGTATTTGTCATATATAAGAACTGACACATTACTTACATGTTTTATTTATCTTCTAATTTAAGCAGTTATCTATGTAAAAAGAAAAGAAATATTGGCAAATTGACTTTTTAAAAATAATGTATTACATATTAGAAAGGATAATATGTCAGATGGGAATTTTTTTAAGTGCCAGGGATGTTAGTTAACAATATATTTTAAAGAATTGGCACATACATTATGCGAATACTTTCATCGTTATAGAGTGAGATCTGTCCTTTGTCAATCACTAAGAATACATATTATCTGAGATTATATTTCTTGTTGATATTTTATTTATTTTATTTAAATGCTTACATTTCATTCACTTTATTTTCTCATTGAACTGATATCTGCTTTTCTTGAATATCTTTATATTTTGTGCATAAATTATTTTATAAAACCTTAATAAAAGTATAAAACACAGAAATTATTAAATTCTTGGTTTATCTCCATTGAATGAGCTTTTATTAACACTTTGTAAAATTATTAAGTCCAGTCTTTTCATATCCAGGATTATTAAAACCTCAGTTCTCAACTCCCTGATAAGGTAGACTTTTTTTTTTAATAATCATTATTACAATCGTAATTTTGGCCTGTTAATGAGAAAATATTGAAGTCACTTTATTATATGTCTATTTACAATGAATGAATAATATTTATTTTTGTATGAATCTGGGGAAATAACTTCAAAATGACTTCAACAAATAAAATAACTCTTTCATCTAAAATAATGCTCCAGAGGCTGGAGCAGTAGCACAACAGGTAAAGCATTTTGTCTTGCACGCAGCCAAGCCAGGTTGAATTCCCAGCATCCCATATAGTCCCCCGAGCACCGCCAGGAGTAATTCCTGAGTGCATGAGCCAGCAGTAACCCCTGAGGGTCGCTGGATGTGACCCAAAAAGCAAATAAAATAAAATAGAATAAAATATGTTCCAAGTTAACATTATGAAATATCATCTCAAAGGTAAATGTAAATGCCAGAACATATCTTTACTGCAATCCTCTATAAAGATTTGTTTTACTAAATATTATTAAATATTTTATTACTTTTATTAAATCATCTTAAGTGATTTCAGGCTCAAAATTTTTCACTCTAAAATTACTACTTTTTATAAATGGCTTTTTCAGTGTTTGCATTTTCATTGTAATTTTTTAGCTGTTGAGAATATATAAGCACAATTATTTATAATGTTTATTCACATTAGCTTTAAATATGATATAATGTTTGTTTTTACAAAGTTATAAAATATACGTTTCTGTTTCATCTTTCAACAGATGGCTTCCTTGAATATTGGAAGAGCAGGTGCCTGTGTGGTAGTCATCAAGCAACCTTGATTTATTTTTCTTTAAAAAGATTTTATTTGATGGAATGATTATTTTTATGTCAGAGGGCAAGAATGAGAACTTCCTGAGATGAAACTCTTCAATAACAAGGATTTTTTCAGATTAAACAACTGAAACAAAAAGAGGTAGAAGAGTTAACAGAATTATACAAGACAAATCATCAAACTGATATAGGAACAGTATCTGGCTGTGCATTAGTTCAGGAATGGTTATTGGTAATTTGTTTTGTATTGTAGCATACAATAACTAGAGTTACCAAAGGCTTGTTTTTCTTGAATTATTATAAAGAGAGAATGATGTGGACATGGCTAATTTCATGACCGCAACCTGATCGTCTTATAGTCTGTGACAGTATTAAAAGTTGCCAAGATTAGAAGAAGACTACTTCATCTGATGAAATCTGGTTGGTTAATATTTTGCTAATCAGAAGTGGCCATGTCAGGAGACAGAATGCTATTTTATTGAAACAAACATTCTTCTTTCTCATTTTACTAAGCTATGAAGATAGAGAAACAAATCCATGCTTGCCTCTTTTGTTCAGAAAATAAACTATCCTGCTAAAAAAAAAGCTACATATGTCATCGGCAATCATGGCTGAAGTGTCTTGCAGTCCCATTAGCCATCTGATGCTGGCAAACACAAAAATTGCTCTCATTAGATTGGCCACATTGCTTTCCATTTTAAACACACTGGGCCAAAGAGCCAGCACAATGATGGGCCTTTGCCTTGGAGTTCAGTCTAAGCACGGAAACTAGATCTTCTGAATATTATATAGATAGATATCCATTGCATGTTGAAGTTCTTTAAAATTTTGTTTATTTGGGAAAAGAAACGGAATTTTGACAGAAATATGTGGTCGGTTCACTCATTTGGACTATTAATGATCATTGATATACAGATAGCAAAATTTAAATTATCATTTCTCAATTTTCAAACTTCTTACATTGATATACACATTATTTTATGCAGACTATTTGTAATTGTTTAAAGCATAAAGTATAATATTACAGTCTGTTCTTAATAGATACATGTCAATTTAAAAGAAAACAGTAAATAAATAATAAAACCTTGCTTTTATCAGTGTATCTTTCTTCAATGAATTTTGTTTATACACATGTATAAATTTGACTAGACATATTGCTAAAGGAGAACATTTTAATTGTTTGACTTTTTCAAAGTCAAGAACTAGGGCTGCGTCGCAGTAAGCCGTTTATCTCATCTATGCCCTCAGCACACCAAAGCAGAAAAAGGAAATGTTCATTCAGGTATAAGTATTTTTTTCTTTACATTTCTATTCTGACAAACAAATGAAATTTTTATTGATTTCATTATCATTCACTCACTTGAGAGAGTTAACATTAAATGCCTAAATTAAAAATCATCACATTAAAGTACTGAAAATTGTTTGGACTCAATAAAAGACAAGAAAATTACTGTTTCTGAATCAGTGTAAACCATGGAATTTAGTTATTTTTTACTGAGGACTAAAAATGCTTCAAATCTACTAGTCAAGAAATATATTGGTAATGAATATTATGTAAAGAAAATATTAGGAAAAATTATGTTTTCCAATGTTTACATATGTCCACATTTATTAATCAAAGTTTATGATACATGCAAGTACATGGGAATTAAATTACACTTCTTATAAAGTTTCATTTGTCCTAAATTATTCTTATTTAGATATCTTTAGATTTAAATATAAATACGATAGCTTTTGAACAATATCGGCAAAAGTGATGAGTTGTCATAGAGATATATGGCCACAAAGCTCTAAAATATGTTTACTCTCTGACAACATATGCATACAAAATTTATTATTTCGCTTTAAAAATGTTTACTGACTCTTGATCAAGATTTTAAATTAAATATAAGATTAAATATAAGTTAATTCATTACAAATAAATAAAGAAATGAATCATGCTGTATATGGCACACACCCATTGCTGCTAAATGTGATTTACTTTTTAACAAAATACCAAGTTATTCCTTGCTCTGTTTTCCACAATCATTACTAGCAATGCTAGGTGTATGTAGTTCAGGGAATTGAACCCAACTGCTATCTCTCTAACCACCTGAATGTTAAGTAAGTTGATACCTGCTTAGTGGTAATTGAAAAAGTTGAAACACTGATGTCTGAAAACAACTGATGTGCTTTCTATCTCTCATATCCATACACTAAATGTTAAAGTTATTAAAGATAGTTATTTGAATGTGTAAGTTTTTTTAAACGTTCAAAGCTTCTCTTCCTCTTTCTCATTTCTATTATATAATACGGGTTGGAGCAATAGCACAGAGGGTAGGGTGTTTGCCTTGCACACAGCTGACCCGGGTTTGATTCCTTCATCCCTCTCAGAGAGCCTGGCAAGCTACTAAGAGTATCCCACCCGCATGCGGAGCCTGTCAAGGTCCCTGTCGCATATTCCATATGCCAAAAACAGTAACAACAAGTCTCACAACGGAGATGTTACTGGTGCCCATTCTAGCAAATTAATGAACAATGAGAGGACAGTGCTACAGTACTATCATATAATATAAATGATATGTAATATGTAGATTGATTAACTGCTGATTTATATATTAATTTAAATAGAAGTGCTTACAGAGGTTTTTTTTTTTTTAATTAAAATTTAATTTTGGCATGAAGGCCGCTAAAGTTTACTCTGGCTCTGAGCTCCAAGATCACTATCCTTACTGGGCCCAGAGAACCATATGGAGTTCAGGGACTGAGTCCAGTTTGTACGTATGCAAGACAGTCACCATAACACCTGTACTGTCTTTCAGGCCCTGGGATTTATTTTTAATTTAAATATTTGAATAGGGGAATTCTAGTAATTTAGTTTAGCATCAGTTTAAAGATTAAAAGAATTCCTGGAAGGCCTAGTAAACAAGCCATGAAGTGTACACATACAGAGAATAGTTCAATTACTTAGTTAACTCTTGCCTTGATTGATTTTTACTCTGATTTTTCTCAGCAAATTACATTCGTGAAAGTAACCATGGCAACTAAAAGCTTGACTACTGAGTCAAACAAGTAAAATCGTGCTGACGAATATAGTAAAAGAAAAGCTATACTGACTTTGTTCAAAGAGATATCTTATTGTAAATTTAAGCATGCTACATTAATATTTTTACTACCTAGGAAGTCAGTAAACACCTACTATCAGGAAGTATATAAACAAAAAGTTGTTTTTGTTCTTCTCTGATTAAGCAGTGAAGAAAATGTTTTGATGGCTATCTTCTAATTCTGAGTTTATTTTTTATCAAATACTTAGCTACTACATTTGCATATCTTAAATAAGCATGTTATTACAGTGTATAATTTAACTCAAATTAATCATATACCTGGTCATAAAAGAATATTATAACGTCTATGAATGTTTTTGATGAATGTTATTTTTCAGAAATTATAATAATAATTTAAAAAGAATACTTTTAACAGTTCAGGAATTTTTAGAAAAAATTAGTCTTTAGTTGGTTCGAAATTGTGGAAGCATGCATAAATGTTAATTACAGATTAAAATTAGTGAGTAGCAATAGTGTACAAAATAAATATTGCTATTTGTCCCATCTGTCTAATATTCATTGCATACTCTGTATTGTTAGGATTCCAAATATGCATTAAAAGCATAATTAGACCCGACATTTTAAAAAATACATTCAGAAGACTGAAAAGAAAGAGCTTATAAGCACATAATCCCTTTACCCTGAATAGATGTTAAAATAGATTTGAGTGCCAGGTGTAAAAGAAGTAGATGAGGGAATAGCAAACCGTTTGTGGGGGATGAAGTTGGATTACCGCAGTGTCTCTTACTTATAAGGATACAAAGGCATGGAGAAGAGATCTAAAGTAGGCTCAGAATAATCACTAAACAGTATTTAATTCTTCCTTTTCTAGGTACCTCCTACTTATTTCTCAAATCCTTTGCTACGTTATGCTGGTAGAAATTTAGAAATTTATTTCTTGTAGGTCATTTTATTATGTGCAGAGAAATAAATCAGAAACACTTGTCTAATGGAGTAGGAAATAAAAACAAATTAATATCCTTAGCATTTTATGATTCTAGTGCTAATTAACTCTGATTTTGACATTGAATCACAATTGCAAAGATGGTGGATAGTGAGTGCTAATAAAAGGTGAAGATGATAATTCTGATTATGTGGAAAAAAAGATATTCCTTGCAACTAACCATTTCTTAAGAAAATAAAGAAAAATATTTCTCAACACACTTTTCTGGATATAAGGCTTTGATAAATTCAAGCTTATCTGCCCTCATTTAGATGAAGATAACTAATTCATAACATTTGCTGAAAAAATCAGGGGCAAAACTAAATCTCCTAAGTGTCTCAGGATCTGTGAAATTCTGACTTTATTAATTAAATTCAATTTAATCCTTCTTTAATCTGTTACTGTAAAAGAAATTGAAGAGTTGTTTACTAACTCTTAAGAATTTGTTTAAGGACAGTTGTTTTGGTATTCTAACAGGCATTTTGAAAGAAGGAAAGCTTATTAAAAGAGTGAGGGAGTGAGTTTGTGTGTGTGTGTGTGTGTATGTGTCTATGTGTGAATGTGTGTGTGATTTAAATTCGCATTGCAAAAACATTAATTAGAAAGAAAGGAAGAGAGAAGACCAATGTTTCTAGCACCATTATTTACAAAAACCAAGATATGGAAACAACCCATGCCCAACAACAGATAAGTAAATAAAGTAATTATAGTATATACAATATGTGTGTGTCAGCACACAGACACACAGCAGAATGCTATAGAATAAGTTAGCTATGATTAACAAGGAAATCTTGACTTTTATTGCAACTTGAAGAGTGTCTTGCTAAGTGAATTGTGTCAAAAAGTAGAAAAATTCAGATGATCTCATTCATCTTTGAAGTATGAAGAAATGAAGAAATTGATTAGATAATCGCCAATGGAGCCAAATCCTAAGACACAACACCACTGGGAAGTGAGGAAGCCAAAAAAGTAGAGGGGAAGCCACAGAGGTTTAGTGGTTGTATAATCTTGACATACTGATGGAGAGAGTAGAATAGCCGTACTACAAATATGAAACAATGTTTTCAAAACTGTAAAATATAACATCAATTAAATGGTAAATAAGCATACTTATTAACTTAAAAATTAATTAAAATTATTAATTAACTTCCAGGCATGATATGAGTCAAGCAGCAAAATTTATGCCTAGCATGTCTGAGGCTCTGAGTGTGATACCCTCCCATGTTCCTCCAAACTTCCCTGAAGAATGCTTATTTGGAGTAGTTCCAAGAACTATAATCATTTTTTTTTTCATTGGCAATTTAAATTTTGGCCAAAAGATGACAAACAAGTTTCTGGGAAGTTTTTCC